ACAATTAATTGAGCACTTAATGCCTATAAACGTGTGAACAACACAGACAGCTTTCCTGCTCTCACAGGACTGTATCACAGGGAGGCCACCGATTAAATAAACAATCATTATAAAGTATCACATTGATTGGGATTATAAGCCAAGTCACAGAGTGAGTTGTGTGGACATCTAATTGTTCCCGATGAAGACCTGAGCCCCTGACAAAAGCCATCACTTAGCACTTGTTAGGAGCCAGGCATTGTTCTAAGTACCTTCTTGTACCAACTCATTATTCCTCATCACAGCCATTTTACAGGTGAAGACACTGAGGCACAGAGGGGTTAAGTAACTTTTCGACTGTCATGCAGCTTGTAAGAGGCAGAGCCAAGATGCCAATTCGGATGCTGGGCCCCAGAGCCCCATCTCTCACCCTCCATACTAAGTCACCTCTTGATGTGAGAGGCACTTGAGGTCCTCCATCTGAGTGCCTGTCTGAGGGCCTAGCAGGTCATGGTAGGATGAACCAACTCATGTGAAAGGTTTGAGCTTTCTTCCAGTTCCGGGCCTGGTACATGGGTCATTCCCATCATCCTCCAGGTTTTTGTTCTGCCATCATTGTCCGGGCTCCTGGGAATAGTGGGTTTAGGGCTCCAGCCAATGATGTAATGAGGCTCTTAGGAGCCCTGGAGCAGTGGTCAGAACCTGGGCTATCTTCTGTGATTCTTGTGCTAAAACACTATCTCGGATCCACACAAGACTCAAGACAAATAACATGAGTTGCCATTTATTGAGCATTTGTATGTACTAAGTACTGTGCTAAGCACTTTAGATACTGTATCTATCTCATTTAATCCTTAAAACAAATAAGAAAACAACATCAGCAAATGATAATAAGTGCTACTTTTAGTCTCATTTCCAAATGAAGAAGCCTCAGCTTAGAAAACCTGGAGAGTTCGTCTGGGCTCACACAGCTCGTAGAAGGCTCTGAGATTCAGACCCAGTCTGGCTTCCCGGGCTCCCCTAAACCACTGTGCGTCCTGCCTCGGGAGACATCTTTGAAGGAGGAAAGAAAATGCAAATGCCTCTCTATGTCTGAATGCTTTCTTTAGTACTTTTTCTTCCCCTGAGAGGAAAGATTACAGAGAAAAAAAGAAAACCCAACCACTTCTCAGAAGTATGTTGGGTCTCCCTCCTGTCCCCCCAACCCTCCCCCTCATGCTGGAGAGAAGACTTTTGTCTCAATGCTGGGGTGTTCATTTTTGAGAACCTACCAGCTCTCTTACTAGTTTAGAAGTTAGTACGATTTCCTTTCAGCTCTATGGAAGCAGGGTCTATTCAGCTATTTCTCTTGTTTTGGCTTGTAGCAATGGGGAAGGGTGGG